ATGGTGATACATACTGTATAATAACCTGTATCCATGGAGACACAGAGTGTATGATAACCTGTATCCATGGAGACACAGACTGTATGATAACCTGTATCCATGGAGACACAGACTGTATAATAACCTGTATCCATGGTGACACAGAGTGTATAATAACCTGTATCCATGGAGACACAGACTGTATAATAACCTGTATCCATGGTGACACAGAGTGTATAATAACCTGTATCCATGGAGACACAGACTGTATAATAACCTGTATCCATGGTGACACAGAGTGTATAATAACCTGTATCCATGGAGACAGAGACTGTATAATAACCTGTATCCATGGTGACACAGAGTGTATAATAACCTGTATCCATGGAGACACAGACTGTATAATAACCTGTATCCATGGAGACACAGAGTGTATAATAACCTGTATCCATGGAGACACAGACCGTATAATAACCTGTATCCATGGTGATACATACTGTATAATAACCTGTATCCATGGAGACACAGAGTGTATAATAACCTGTATCCATGGTGACACAGACTGTATGATAACCTGTATCCATGGTGACACAGACCGTATGATAACCTGTATCCATGGAGACACAGAGTGTATAATAACCTGTATCCATGGAGACACATAGTGTATAATAACCTGTATCCATGGAGACGCAGACTGTATAATAACCTGTATCCATGGTGATACATACTGAAGTGTATAATAACCTGTATCCATGGAGACACAGAGTGTATAATAACCTGTATCCAAGGAGACACAGAGTGTATAATAACCTGTATCCATGGAGACACAGAGTGTATAATAACCTGTATCCATGGAGACACAGACTGTATAATAACCTGTATCCATGGAGACACAGAGTGTATAATAACCTGTATCCATGGAGACACAGACTGTATAATAACCTGTATCCATGGAGACACAGAGTGTATAATAACCTGTATCCATGGAGACACAGACTGTATAATAACCTGTATCCATGGAGACACAGAGTGTATAATAACCTGTATCCATGGAGACACAGACTGTATAATAACCTGTATCCATGGAGACACAGAGTGTATAATAACCTGTATCCATGGAGACACAGACTGTATAATAACCTGTATCCATGGAGACACAGACTGTATAATAACCTGTATCCATGGAGACACAGACTGTATAATAACCTGTATCCATGGTGATACATACTGTATAATAACTTGTATCCATGGAGACACAGAGTGTATAATAACCTGTATCCATGGAGACACAGACTGTATAACATGTATCCATGGAGACACAGACTGTATAATAACCTGTATCCATGGAGACACAGACTGTATAATAACCTGTATCCATGGTGATACATACTGTATAATAACTTGTATCCATGGAGACACAGAGTGTATAATAACCTGTATCCATGGAGACACAGACTGTATAACATGTATCCATGGAGACACAGACTGTATAATAACCTGTATCCATGGTGACCCAGACTGTATAATAACCTGTATCCATGGAGACACAGGTTAAACAATATATACCATCTAAGCGGTCCCGATGTGGCGTTAAATTTAATAAATTATGCAAATACTTTACTGGTTACACATGAGCCTTTCGCATTTATCAAGGGAAGGATAGCCATCTTGACCCACCAGGAAGCCCTGATTCTGTGGGTACAAGTGGCAAGATTGTTTGGGATCTAATCCTTCCTTTTTTAAATAAGGGATACAGGCTATGGGTTGACAATTACCATACCAGTCTAGAATTATTAAAAAATTTATATTGCTTTGAAATCCTAGCCTATGGCACTGTGCGGAAGAATTGCAGGGGTTTCCCCCAAACCCTGGCAAGAGGCAGAAGCAGTAGAGGTTCCTTTTCAGCTCTCCGCCAGGATGAGTTGCTTGCCCTTCTCATCACAGATAGGAAGGATGTATACATGCTGTCTACAATGCACGACGAAAGTACAGTGCCAGAGTCTGTGAGAGGTAGCACTGCGCATCTGGAAAAGCCGAAGTGCATTGTAGACTACAGCAAGTTTATGGGGGGAGTAGACTTGGCTGACCAATGCATACAGCTCTATCTGGTACACCGAAAAGCTAGGACCTGGTACAGATTGCACTTTTCAGTGCCTATGTCCTCTATAAAAAAAGAAATCGCTACATGGGCCCATTTCTGTTAAAATGGCTAGACCAAACATAATATATTTCGCCCTGTGACTTATCGAAAAAACCCTGAAATAATGGTACGTGGGGGTACTGTTATATTCATGAAACAATGTGTAATCAAAATACTGAGGCTCTATTACACAAACTCATATCTAGGATATGAAGTATTGTGTGAAAAGTGAGTACATGTGTGTGAAAAAGCACAAATAAACTATAAACGCTATGTGGGCCCTTCATTTCTGATAAAGTGGTTAGACCAAACATCTTAAAATGCATCATTTGGAATACTCTGGGTTGCCTACTTTTGAAAATTGCCATAATGGTGGAAATATTATTACCTAGGCTGCCATGCTCTCTCAAAGGCGAGATAGGCCCAGAAAATCACTTAAAGGACCATTATAGTGCCAGGAAAACATACTCGTTTTCCTGGCACTATAGGGTCTCTAGGTCCCCCCCCACCCTCTGGGCCCCCGTCCCGCCGGGCTCTAGAGGGTGTAAGGGGTTAAATCTTACCTGTTTTTCCCCGCCGGGCTCACTCGGCGCAGGGAACTCTCCTCCTCCTTTTTCGCCGTCATCGGTTGAATGCGCATGCGCGGCAAGAGCCACGCGCGCATTCAGCCAGTCCATAGGAAAGCATTCTTAATGCTTTCCTATGGACGCTGGCATCTTCTCACTGTGAAAATCAATGAGACAGCCACTAGAGGCTGGATTAACCCATAGGTAAACATAGCATTTTCTCTGAAACTGCTATGTTTACAGTAAAATGGGTTAAACCTAAATGGACCTGGCACCCAGACCACTTCATTAAGCTGAAGGGGTCTGGGTGCCTATAGTGGTCCTTTAATAAAATTTCGATGTGTAAAAACATAAATGGACAAGCCATATATATGACCCTGTAACTATCCAAAACCCCATGAAAAACCTATACATGGGGGGGGGGTACCGCGGTGCTCGTGAGACATCACTGAACAGAACTATGAGTGTTTCACGGCAGTAAAATATGTACTGACAATAATGCTAAAAAACGCTAAAAAACAAAAAAAAAATCTGGCTAATGTTTATGCCCAAGTGGCTACTACAAAAGACTAGACATACCCCATTTTGAATACCTCATCGACTTTTTCAGATGGTGTGCCATCATGGGGGTAATATTAATTTCTGGGCTGCCAAATGGTCTTAAAGGACCACTATGGGCACCCAGACCACTTCAGCTTAATGAAGTGGTCTGGGTGCCAGGTCCATCTAGGATTAACCCTTTTTTTTAATAATAGGGTTAATCCAGCCTCTAGTGGCTGTCTCTTGACAGCCGCTAGAGGCACTTGCGTGCTTCTCACTGTGAAAATCACAGTGAGAAGATGCCAGCGTCCATAGGAAAGCATTGTAAAATGCTTTCCTATGAACTGGCTGAATGCGCGCGCGGCTTCTGCCGCGCATGCGCATTCATCCAATGATGTCGGTATGGAGGAGGAGAGGAGGAGGAGAGCTCCCCGCCCGGCGCTGGATAAAGAGGTAAAT